ATATCCTAATCCTGCGTCCATGTTTCCAGGCCATTCTCCTTACTTGGATTTCACTTTCACTGTTTCTTAATTGGACCTTTAGAAGATGAGTCAAGATGATCTTTGAAATCTTGTCTAACTCTGAAATTCCTGGGTCCCTGCCGTGGCACTGCCTGTGACTCGAAGTGTGACCTTGGGCAAGGCCCTGCCCCTCTGAGCCTGGTCCGACAAGGATAATTACATGTCCCGCCCCTTGTTGCTTTGAGACAGTTGGGGATGCTGGAGGCACCCAGACCTGTGAGCTGTGGCTCCACCATTCTGGTTGCCCTTGTGACCTTGGGCAAGTCACTTCCACTCTGAGCATGGGTTTCCTCAGACTGTACCACCTGCCTTGCAGAGCTGTGGGGAGGATGGGATGAAGCAGGTAAGCGGCTCTTAGCATACCTCCCAAACGCCATGATGAGCTCACACAGGGGCCCGCTCTCTGCAGCCAGCGATGCAGCCTGTGAGTGGGATTGGGCAGCTTCCACGCCAGGGTCTTCTTCCTCCAGCGATTCCGGCTTCTGGGGCTGCAGCCTGCAGAGCCAGGTCTGACCTTTGCGTCTAGCTGACCACGCACCCACCCTGGGTTGGGGGCAGGTGATCAGGCAGGCTGTCCTCAGCAGCTGGAGAAATGTGGGGTAGAGCAGGGGGAGGGGAAAGGCTTGATCACTGTCTTCACATAATTAAAGGGCTGTCGAACTCGAAATGATAATTACAGGAAGGATCATGGATTTTGTGACTTACGGCTTACATCTGTAATCGTGCTGGGGCCTGGCAGCCCTCCTGTGAGGTGGTGGTGATGTCATCCCTGTGAACAGAGGAGGAAGCTGAGGTTGGAGGGCCTAAGCAACTGGCCTGTAGCCACGCAGCCGGTGGAGAGGAGGGCAGGGATTAAAATCTAGCTCTTTATTATATTCCCCCCTCCCTGGTCATTTGACCCCAATATTTCTTCCCCTTTGGTTGCATGTGTTCTGTGTGGTATCAGAGCCAGATGCAGGGAGCAGAGGAGGAGGCCGATTTCATTCCACTTCCAGGAGGGGCAGAGGGAAGGGCCTAACCAGACACCCTGCATGTGAGGTCTTAGAGGTCAGTGCAGCGTGCGAACACTGCTGTCCCCATTTTACAGAGCCAAAAGCTGGGCTCAGAGAAGATCAATGTCTTCCTCAGGGTCACCCAGGAGTGGCCAGTCTGGGATTCAAACCGAGTGTTGCTAGATCCCCCAAGCCAGCCTCCCTGTCGGGCTGCTGGTCTTGCAGAAGGGACTTTGTGTCCAGAGGACCACGCAGTGTCTGGGGGAGCGAACCTGGAGCCACCAGAGCAGAGCAGGGTGAGCTGCTGTCCTGGAGGCTGCAGGTCTCTGCCCCGGGGGCAGAGGCAGGGGACCAGGAGTTGACAAGACAGCTCTGGCTCTGAGCAGTCTGTGACGTGAGTCTGTGATGTTGCCAGGATGGGGCTGGCAGTGCCTGCTCCGCTGTTTCGACTGCAGAGTTGAGACCCCAGGTTCTGTCTGGGGACCCAGGGGAGGTGCTCCGTGCCCTGTGGGGCCTCTGTAGTGGGAGGGGCAGCTGTGTGCATCCTGGCCTGAGGCCGCAGTGTGGGGCGACCAGGGGCCTGTGGCGAGTGGCAAAAGGCGGCAGCAGCAGGGCCGTCCCCCCAGCGTCTGTGCCTGCACTTCCTGTGTCTGGCTTGGTCTTGCGGCTGCAGCCATGCTCTGTGTCTGTTTCTGCACACTCACATGCTCTTTCTGCACACTTTTCTCTGAGTGCAGAGGGCTCAGGGCTGGGAGGGACAGGATAGGACAGAGCGGGTGAGGAGACACGACCATCAGGAAGGAATGCAGAGGAGGAGTGGCCTCTGGGGACACTGGCCCACCTTGCCCAGATCACAATGGAGGGGCTCATCTTCCCAGAGTGTTCAGACAAGGATGGGGAGGAGACAAGGCAGGGCTTGTGGGGCCAGATGCCCACGGCCTCCATCCTCTGGGAGTGGGAGTGGAGCTTTCCATCCATCCATGGCCAGGGCAACCTGCTGTCCCAGCTGTCCCCTTCCTGTTTGGTCCCTGCCTGCTGCAGCCTGGACCAGCTCAGAGATTGCCCAACAGGAGATGGCTATGCCCTCACCCCAGCCTGGCTCAGCCTTTGATCTGCTCCCTGAGGGTGAGTCTGGGGCTTGAACGATAGCGCCATCCACTGGTGGCCCCGAAGCATCCCTGCATCACCCTGTCTCACATGCACACCTCCTCCTGTCTCTCGTACTGTGTCTGAGCACCACCTCATGCCCAGTGTGATGCTGGGCCTAGGGGACACAGATAGCTTAGGCCATTCCTGCCCTGAAGGAGCCCATAGCCCAGGGAACTGTCCTTCAGTATGCACCTACTGTGTGCCACTCGAAGCCCATAAGGTCATTTAACAGCGCCCCTCCGAGGCAGGCTTGTCATTCCCACTCGCAGGTGTGCGGCCCGAGGCTCAGCGGGGCTGGCTGACTTGCGCAGGTGGCAGAGCAGGCCTTCAGCACCCATGCGCTTTCCACCTCCACAATTTGGAAATTGAGGTCCAGGTTGGTGGGCGCCAAGAGTCTGTGCAGGATGGTCAGAGAAGGGAGGCCTTTGGGGGGTGTAGGATGGAAAGGCTTCCTGAAGGAGCAAGAGGTCTGGCCTGGGGGTGGACCCCAGAGAGAGGGAAGAGAGGAATCCAAGCTGGGCCTGGAATTGCCATACGGGGTCCCAGAGGATGAGGGTGGGTTTGAGGGGAGCTGTCCAGGGCTGGCCCTCGAGGGGACCTGCAGAGGACTGCTGTTTGTCAGGACACTGGTTCAAATCCTGTCCCCCCTCCTCCCCTACTTGGCGACCTCTGTGATTCACCTGTAGTCACTGGTGTTGAGCCTTTGTGCAAATCCCCAAAAGGCGCCCCTTCCCCAGGACACCTGGCCAGCATGTGCTAGAAAATTGTCATAATAAATGTGCACATTTATGGCAACGGTGACGTGAGTGGCACTTCTTGGTGTGGTGCAGTGCACTGTTCACTCAGCCGGATGTGGTGGGACAGGGATAAATATCCCTAAATAAACAATCGCAGCACGGCCAGACTGTGAGAGAGGAGGGAGGGCCCTCTCCACGTGGAGGGACGTCAGGGCAGTGCTCACGGCTCTGCATCTCCCCAGAGCAGGGCCAGATTGGCTCGAGCAGATGGCGCTGCTCAGGCCTTTCTCTGCTCTAACGAGCCCTGACAGGGACCATTAGTGCCATTGGAGCCTCTTCATCAGCGGAGCCGGCCGCTCCACAGGCCACTTCCTCCGCCAGTTCCTCACCTTCCCCTTCCTCCCCTCCTTCCAGCCCCTGCCAGTTGGTGTTTCCTCTGATTGTTCTTAGAGTGACCCCCACTGCCTCCCTCCCCCTGCAGTTGGGTTGAAGAGGCCCCATCTACAGGCTCCCTGTGGCTTCCAGCTCCCAGGACCTCAATCCCAGTCCCCCACCGCAGTTCTGATAACGGGGTTCATAGTCCCTTGCTGCTTAGGCCCTGCCCCCATCCCTGCCATGCCTGGGTGTCTCACCCACCTGCCGGTTCTAGTCTTGTCACCCTGGCTGTTCCCCGGGGGTGGGGGTGCAGCCCCCATTTCTGCCCCATCCTGCCCCACTGTGAGGATCTGGCCAAGCGAGAACAATGGCCCTGGGTGCACCCACCAGCCCCCACGCTGCTATGGGCGCTCCCAACACCCGTGGTCTCCCGTCAGTGCTGGGTCCCACATCACACCTTGCGGCAGGATGGCTTCCCAGTACGCACAGCGGGTTCTCCACCTCCAGGCTACTTGCCTGGGACGGGACCCATTCTAGGCGGAGGCTCACCCCTCACCCGGGCCCCTCTCAGAACCTGCCTTCTGGTCAGAGGCACAGAGGAGGTGACATGCGAGCTGATGAAAGGTGAATGAGAATGTCCAGGGAACACGCCGGGGGGCAGTGGCCCTTCCAGCTTGAGGGATCTGGTTGGGGGGTGAAGCTGGGGAGGGCAGGGGCCACACCCAGAAGGGCCTCCCATGCAGAGGGCTTGGTTAGAACCATAGCTCTGGGCTGGCTGTCATGTGTGTCAGGGGTCAGGGCCACAGGGAGCCCAGAGGCGGGGATGCCTGACTCCCAGCCCTGGAGGGTGTCTGGTTCACTCCCCACACTGACCTCCCCTCAAGGGCCGGTTTGTTCTGATGATCTCAGCACTTTCCCAGGTTGCAGGATATTCCAAGCTTGTGCTTCCGAGATAAGGGGACAGATGAAAGCAGGGACAAACCGGAGGGCCCAGGCGGAAGCGCCTGCAGACCTCTGAGCCTGCCCCTCAGGAAGCAGCAGCAGTGGGGTCGGCATCCCCCCACAGCCCACCCCCACCCGGCTGGAGACAGAGGGGGGGACCCGGCCTCGCCCTGAAGGGCCAGCGCCCAGTAGAGGCGGCAGACACTGCACTTCAAATGCAGAGACCAGGGCGCTGGTCCTAATCCTCGGCTAACTTGCAGTGCGACTTGGGCAAGTTGCTTGGCCTCTCTGGGCCTCAATGTCTATCAGTAGCGTGAGGCAGAGATAGGGAGGAACCAGACCTGCTTCGTAGGCACGTGTGAGGATGGAATGAGTATGGGACGGGACTTCCCAGACTGCAGATCACTGCGCCCGCGCGGAAGCTTTGGGGCAGACTTGGCTTCTGGGGGCCTTCGCCAGAATGGGGCCACCGGCACACGCCGGAAAGGCCGCGGCAGCAGAGCACAGCTCTGGGGTGGACCCCTGGCCTGCTCCAGGCTGCCCACTGTTTCGTGACTTGGGGCTCTGTGAGGTGGGACAGGTCACTTCCCCTCTCTGAGCCTCAGTTTCTCCCAGTGCACAGACGGCAGTCATTCTTGGGCGGCAGGTTTGGCTACCAACGTGGGGGGGGGTGACGTTTCAGTGGCAGGCAGCCTGGGAGCTGGCCCTCGCCCCACGTGACCCGCTCCCTGCCGTGCTCTTGCAGTGGGAGCGCCTCTGGTTCCTGCTCCTCACCTTCACCTTCGGCCTCACACTCACCTGGCTCTACTTCTGGTGGGAAGTCCACAATGACTACGACGAATTCAACTGGTGAGTGGAGTGGGGGCGGGGCAAGGAGGAGGGGCCTGGGTCCCAGGTATCCAGTGGCTGGGACCTGGGGGCTGGGATTTGAGCCTCTCTCCCAGGTTGGCTCTCCAGGCCCTGCCACCGGCTCTCTGTGTGGCCTTGTCTGTCCTGCCCACCTCCTTTGAGCCTCTGTCCTGCCCACCTCCGAGGCTTTGGTGGGGAGGCTGGTGTGAGACTGTGGGTGGGAAATGAGGGTGGGGCGTAGGTGAGGGATCACAGGCTGGCAAGAGAGATGGAGAGAAAAAGAGAGATCCGTGCCTTGAGGGGAGTCCCGCTGGGGACATATGGAAGGCTTCCTGGAGGAGGAGGCATGGAAACCGGGCCTTGAAGGATGACTGGGATTGGAACCTGGGGACTACAGCTGCTGGGCTCCTTGGAGACCCACTGGTGTTTGCATAGGTGATTCAGGCTGCTCCTGAAGAGGTGGAGGGGCCCGAAACACAAAGGCTTAGCAGGAGCTAAAGCCTGCTGGGGCGATGCAGGGTCCTCCTTCCCGGTGCCAATAATGTGGAAAACAGGAACCTACACCTGGGGCAGGGCTCAGCCTGGGGCTGGGGCCTCTGATCACCCCCTTTGTAGAAAAGAAATCCAAGCCCCAGAGAGACCAAGGCCTCAGTGGAGGAGGTAGCCCCAGGCCCCGGGCAGGGCTGGCAGATGCTGTGGTTCTGGGATGGCTCAGGGTCACTTGTGGGCAACTCAGGTGACAGGGCTGTCTGAGGCAGGTACCTGGGTGCAGGAGGGGCGCCTGTTTCTTCCTCATCCCCTTGCATTGTCTGCCTTTTGTTAACCAGTGGAAGGCCACGGGAGGAGGAGAGGTCCCAGGGTTCCACTGAGAGGTGTGGAAACTGAGGCCCAAGGTCATACAGCCAGTTGGGGCAGAGCCGGAGCATGGGAGCCAGCCTCCTCATGCCCCATCCATCGCCGCTCCTTCCATTTGATCAGAAGTTTAGGTCAGCATGACCATGCACAAGTCTTTGGTGCTCTCTGAGCCTCTCTTTCTTCTTCTGTGAAATGGGGTAACTCTGACCTCATCGGGCCTTTCCAAGGATGAAAGGAGACGATAGACGTGGAAGGGCTCAGCTGCACCTGAACGCGAGGGCTGCTGCCTGGGAGACCGACTCTCCAGCTGGAAGGTGGCTGTGGTGTTAGAATCAGGGATTTCTAGGACTCTGGGCTACTGATGGGCTGTGGTTCCAGGATTCTGTGATGAGCCTAAGACTCCATTCATGGAGCTGGGTCCACTCTCCTCTGCGTGGCACCAGGCTGTGCCTCTGTTACTAGCGAGCACAATAAAGGACGTGCTGCCCTGCCCTGCCCTGCCCCTGCTCTGCAGCAGCCCGGCAAGATGAGCCAGAGCCCCAGCCGAGTCTCAGAGGTGGCCTCTGGCCTTTATTAAATGCGATAAATCAATTATTCATTTTCGCAGGTGTCCAAAGCATGGGCTGCATCCCCTGCTGGCCCTCGACTGCAGACCCTGGACAGTTCTGCTGCCTGGAAGATCACTGGGTCCACCCCATCATGTACCGATGGGGAAACTGGGGCAGGGAGGGACAGGATTCATCCACGGCCACACTACGTGTTAGTGCCAAAAACATGTATTGAGGACAGTCTGAGGAGACCAAGGGTCAGAAAGGTTAAGTAGCCTTTCCAAAGTCACACAGCAAGATACAGACAGATCTGGGATGGGGACTTGAGCCTGCTGACTGTGTCATGTCCGTGGAGCTACCCACTTTGCCCAGTGAGTGAGCGCCCTGTTACTGGAGACTCGAGCAGAGGATGGGTGACTGCCCTGTTGGGGAGGCTGAAGAGAAGGCCTGCCTGGGACCCGGGGATCAACCTGTCACGTCAGATTCTTGGAGTTGGTGCTGGGGTTCAGGAGCCCCTGGCCCAGCCCTGATGGTCGCGAGAGTCCCTGGGGATGGTTCACACAGTAAGAGGCTGGGAGCCAGAGCCAGGGCTCTACACAGGACCAGCAGAGGCAGGGAGGGCCGTCTGGGCTGTTGCTGTCCAGGAGGGCTCCCTGCCAAAAGGAGTACACTTGAGAGACAAATGGGACCAGAACATCTTCAATAATGGCTACTGGGAGCAAGTCCTGCCCCTCTTTAGGCCTCAGTTTCTCAACTGTGCAGTGAGATGAGTGCACTCAGTGACCTTCCAGGCAGCAGATTTTCCCCTGGGCTCTGAGGGGGAGGGCAGATGCCCGGGAGGTCCTGCTGGGGTCCCCTCCCAGCCCCCTGCCAAGGCCCCTTGCCAAGATGGAGCAGGCTGAAGCTGACTTGGATTCTCTAATGACCTTGAGAAGTTATTGCCTCCTCTGAGCCTCAGTTTCCCCACTTGTACAAGGGGGATGTGAGTGGTTCAATATTTCTGGAGCGCAACTCGGCAGTATCTATCAGGAGGCTTAAAAAGTGTATTCCCTTTGACCATATAATTCTATTTGTAGGAATCTATCCTAAGGAAATAATCAGAAATACAGAATGAAATGTACAACATTTTCATTTTTGTGTTAACTTATAATAGTGAACAGTTGGAAACTATTGAGTGCCATTGGTAGGCAGTTGGCTACATGTGAATTCCATGGAAGACCACGCGGCTGTTTAAAAAATCACATTTCTTCGGGATCTTACTGGCATGAGTACCAGTGCTGGTGTCAGAGAGGAGTTCACTGAGTGCCTACCATGTGCCTTGGCTCACCTCCCCCTCACAGGGCCTACAAAAGGCCCTGTCTTCTTATCTTCATCCTACAGAGCAGCAGACTGAAGCTCAGAGAAATCAGGTATTACAGTTGAGTCTAAGACCCCCTGTTTTCACATGATAACGTTGCAATGGAGCTGACAGGCACAGTCGATGGCATCTCAGAAGCAGTGAAGCCCGTCACCTGCCCAAGGTCCTACGAGCCAGCGAGAGGCAGAGCGGGATTCGAACCCAGCGTGTGTGCCTGCTGCAAAGCCCGCGCTCTGGCCTCGGTGCTGTGGCAGTGGGGGCCGGCTTTGCAGTTTATACCGATACAGAGTCATGAGGGGAAACCCGCAGGAAGACGATTCAGCACGACCTTGGTAGTGGTTTCTTCTGGGCAGCTGAATTATGGGGAATTGTTTTCTTCTTTGCATTTCTCGGTCCCCAGGTGTCCGCCATGAGCAGGTACGACGTTCTGCGGGCGTCGTTCCTGGGTGGGCAGCGCCTGGTCGCTGAGCCCAGCCTGTGGTCCTCCAGCTGCATGAGGGCTACCACCATCCTGGTTCCTGGGCCGGGGAGTGGCCGGTGGAAGTCTGACCCCTGCCCCTCCTCCCCCTGGCAGGTACCTCTACAACCGCATGGGCTACTGGAGCGACTGGCCCGTGCCCATCCTCGTGACCACAGCTGCTGCCTTCACATACATCGCGGGCCTCCTGGTACGCGGGGCTGTCTTGGAGGGCAGGTGACCTGCTCCCAGGGGAAGGGAGACTTGGCCTGTGCCTTCCCGATGGAGGAGCCCTCCCTGGTCTAAAGGGGGAGGCTGGCTTTGCCCGGGGCCTCTGGGGCAGCTGTACCTCTGAGCCAGGGTCCCCCAAGGTGGAAAGTCATCTGGCTTTTGCCAGTCTCTCCAGCTTCCCCTGCCTGGAATGTTTCCCCCCAACCCAGTGAGGGCCATCCTGGCTATCAGGGTCCACTGCAGACTTTCTCCTCCAGGAACCTCGGCTCCGGGTTCCTGCTCCCTGAGACTTGGGCGATCCCCATGCTGGCCTAGGAGCTCCTTGGGGACGGAGCTCAAGTCTGTTTCAGAATCCCGGGACCTGGAATTCCCAAAACATTTGATGAATCAAGTTGGACCCAAGTGTAGCAGGACCCAGTGACCTCTTAAGAGGGAAATCCCAGAGAAGGAGGAGCCTAGAGCACTGGAATAGTCTGGGAGGAGGCCAGGCTTGGGCTGCGCAGGGTGGGCCATTCGCACTGCCTGTAGGAAGCGTTTACTGACTCCGCTCTGGGTCAGGCCCGGAGCAGCAGTGGGGAGTAGGGTGTCTGGGGAATGGACAAAGCCTTCTGCTCACACGTGGGCCCCTCCCCAGGTCCTGGCACTATGTCACATTGCCGTGGGACAGCAGATGAACCTGCACTGGCTGCACAAGGTAAGGGCTGCCTCTGCTGGGGCTGGGAGAGGGGAGGGGAGGGGAGGCCGCGGCAGCAGAGGAAGCGCCCGACGCCTCATACCTCCCTTGCATCGTGGTTATAATTGTTCTTGTAGCTAACGCTGATTGCTCACTCTGTGCCAAGAACTGTTCTCACAAGCTGGCCTATACTAACTCATTTAACCCTCACAGCAGCCCTATGATGCAGGTACTGTTATTATCCCATTTTGCAGTTGGTAAAACTGAGGTACAAAGAGGTTATGTAACTTGCCCAATGTTTCCCAGTTTACAAGCGGAAGATCCAGGGTCCCAGCCCCATAGCCATGAGATTCCCCACCAGATTCATGGGTCCTGTTATAGCACAACCCTCTAGCTGGCCCTACTCCGGGTCTCACCTTCCTCCTCCTCCTTCAATGAGCTCTTGTGAAAACCCTGATCTGGCGATGACATTCCTAACTTAAAGCCTTTCCACCACTCCTGCTGCTCCCAGGATGACCCAAACTTCCCCACTCGGCATGATCTGGCCCCTGCCGACATCTCCCAGCCCCTGCAAGGGACGGTCACCCTCAGCTTCTGAGGGAGGCATCTCAGGCCCTTCCAGCATGTCTGCCTCTTCTCTGCCTTTAGCCCTTTGCTCTTGCCCTCCCTTCCTCTCTCTTTTGGACGCCTTCCTTGGTACCCCCCCTGCATACACAGGCTTTTCTCTTGGGGCTCCCCCAGTTCCTGCAGCCGCCTCTGCCACATGTCTGAGCACCTGTGTTGTCAATTTCCATCTGGCTCTCTGACTGTGACCCACCTGTCTAAGTGCTCCTTGCAGGCCAGAGTTGGCCTTGACCATCTCCCTGTGCCCAGTGCCCACTCAGGGCTGGGCCCAAAGGAGACAGGCCCCACACCTTCCAGAGCTAGTCTCTGACTCATGTGCTGGATGTACGTTTCTGATGCCTGCTCTTCTCGAGGCCCCGCCGGGCGCAGAGGTGGTACGAAGCTGACCGAGGCAGAGCCCCTCCCTCCCAGGAGCACCTGGGCCATGGGGAGAGGGCTGGGTCATCTCTTTTTCCAGAGGCTGGCTCAGAATGGGCATGTCGTTTAGGAAGAGGTAGAAATGTCCAGAGACAGCCCATGAGATGGATCCAGAGTGACTCCGAGGGGTGGCTCACTTCCAACCAGAAAGGGGACATGGAACGGGAAAAGGAAGAGGGACAGATGCGCTTGGGTTGGGCTGTACGGAGTGGGAGGTGACTGTGAGCATCTGGGGGGCATCCGAAGTCAGTCTGGATGTCAGCTTGGGTGTCAGCCCTGGTGACTGAAGTCTTGGAGGGGTGAAGAGCAGCAAGCAGCCTTGGTCCCCTCCCTCCTTCGTCCTGCTTGTCACTCTACCCTGAGGTCTTGCCTGGGCTTCTGCAGTCCCCTCTGTGAGGCACTTTCTTCTCCTGGCTGCAAAGCTGGCACTTGAAAGAAGTGCACCAGCTGGACCCCGGGTGGGGCTGGCACATGCTGTGGTCACCTCCTGGGGCCACGGCCTGGCTCTCGGCAGGTGAGGTCACTCCTGCTTGATCCTGGTAGAGAGGCCTGTAGCTCCATGGAGCCAGCCGGAGGTGGCAGATCAATGCAGGGAGTCAGATCCCAGCGTCCTTGCCTGTGCTGGCTCCCAGGGAGCCAGTCCTGCCCTCCTCTCCCCTCCGCCCCCTCCTGAGAGATCTCAGCGGGAGCAAGGTCCTTCCAGGCAGCGCTGAGCCAGGGCTGAAGCCGCCCGTGCCAGGAGGGAGGGAGTTCCCCGGAGCTCAAAGCATTTGAGCAGGGACTGGAAGTCTATTCTGTTTCCAAAATTCTGTCATTCGAATCTAAGACTCTAAGGAATCCTTCTTTTTTTGTTTGCTTTGTTTTAATTAATTTTTGGCCATGCAATACATTGATATGGTTCAAAATTTAAAAGGCACAATGAAATTACACAATGAAAGTCTCCCTGCTATCTTTCTAGAGATATTTCAAGCACATAAATATACATATGCCTTTCTTTTTCCGTTTTCTTTAAACACGAATAGTCGCCTACTACACCCTCTGTTCTGTACCTTAACAAAACTCTCGGAGCTCCGTCTCCCCGAGTGCATCGAGAGCTTCCTGGCTGGTGTCCCTCACTCGCTTCTGCTCCTGGTCTGGATGCTCCCTGATGCCCTTGGTATCTAGCCAGTCCCCTGCTCCTGGGCCCCATTGACATCCCAGGTATTTCAGTCCTTTGCCAGGCAGTGACCTGGAAGAGGACTTTCTGGGCAAAGAATGCGTACTTGCATCATTTTGATCTTGCCAAATGGCCTCCTTGTTTGGTTAGCACCCACAAACACATGCTTGCCCATCAAGCATCAGGTGATTTCTTGACTTTTGCCAATCTGATGGGTGAAAAATTGCACCTTACTATAGTTTGAATTTGCATTTCCCTTATGGTAAGTTAGATTTGGCATTTTTCATGTTTCACTTATTTGCATTTTCCTTTCTGTAAAGTATCCTTTATATCTTTTGCCCTTTTTGTGATGGGATTGGCTTTTTGCTCATTCATTTGCAGGTCTTTGTAGATGTGGGTAATTAGCCCTTTGGCTGATAAAGGGCACATGATTCTTCCTAGTTTGTCATTCATCTTTTGACTTTGCTCGTGGTGTTTTTACCACAGGAATTTTTTTTTAATTCTTAAGTATTGGAATCTATCATCTCTTTTTATGGCTCCTTGGTTTTATGTCAGACTTAGAAAGATCTTTCCCACTCCAAGATTATAAAAAAGTTCTCTGC